ACATGCCAAAGATGATGTCTGAGAACCAATTCCCCGCAGAGCACAGGTAAGGCAGCCCCCGGCGGCCACAGGGATGCTCGGGGACTCTGTGGGCACTCTTGGGTGGGTTGGTGGTCCCAGAGTGTGGGGGAGAAAGAGCCGCAAGGTCTCAGTAGGAAGTGGCAAGTTTTGCCGCATGGCACCACAGCCAACAACGTTTGTCCCACCAAGCGCAACCGCAGCACAGGGACAGAGGCACAAGGATTTCTGTCCCTGAGCATGGGGCAGAGCCTTTGCCTCCCTCTTGGGAAGGGCAGGGGAGGCAGAGTCTGGCTCCTGCATCCTTCCCAGTTCCAGCAGGTGCTGGTCCTGGGTCAGGGCTCTGCTCTGCTCATTCCCACCCACTGCAGCTCTGCCTGCCGAGCCCTGTTGGGCTGTAGAGCTGTGCCCATCTCTGTCCTGCCTGTGTGCACCCTGGTCTGGGGGTGGTCCAGAGCTCCCCATGGCATCACCGTGATTTTATGGGCTGTGGTGGGAGACCGCTGTTCCCTCCTTCCTCTCCAGGCTGTGGCTTCGCTCCCCATCACTCCCACATCCCTGGAGGCTCTGCCAGTGCCTTCCCTCACCCTGGGCTTGCTCCTGTAGGCATGGAACAAGATGTGGCAGCCTGGCAAAGGCCATGCAGTGGGGCCAGGGAAGTCCTTGGAATGTGAATGTGCCCACAGCAGGCTAGCATCCCTGCCCAGCAGAGCTCCGTGTGACCTTCAGGCTGTGCAGGGGACTGGCTGCGACCCCTTGGGAAGCACGGTGCCAGCACGGGGCTTGGGTTTCATTCAGGAAGGGCAGAGGGACACGGCTCGGAAATGGAGTAATCCCAGCCCGGCAGCTGGGAGGGCTCGGGTTACAAAGGCAAATGGCGCAGGGCCGGCGGAGAGGAGCCGCGCGGAGATCCAAGATCACCTTTCAAGGTGCCGGAGGAGGACGAGGGGATGTGGCAGCACCCCCTCGGGATGGTCCCTCACCCTTTGCCACCTCTCAGAGCCGTGGTGGCAGCACCACGGAGCCCAAAATAGTGCTCCCTGCTGCTGGGTTCAAGGTTTAATCCCAGCTGCGCGGGCGGATTAGCAGCGGCTGGAGCTGCGCCGTGGATTTGGCTTTGCGTAAGCGCCCACCCCTGCTCAGCATCCCTGGCCCCTGCCCCCCTCGCTGGGCACTGATTTTACTGATTTACAGCTCTGAGGGGTGGTTTTTGGTCCTTTTCTCATTCCCTTCCAGAAGGCCAGAGTGCTTTACTGTGTTATCCTGCTGTTCCACCTTGGTGTTCTCAGAGCTTAGAGGGGCACAGGGTTCTCAGCACCCCGTGGTGGCTGTGCTTCTGAGGAGCCACCCCAGCTGTCAGCAGCTCTGGCGTGGGGTGGGAGCTGCCCCCCACTCCTCAGTAACGGCACATCCTTGTCCCCAGGTTTCAGAGGCAGCTGTCGGAGCCCTGCCACCCCTTCCCGNAAATATGTACTGCGCTGTTCTGTGAATCTGAGTTTTTTTTTTTTTTTTCTTTCAATGAATAACCAGACCCCATTGTACGGCTGGCGGAAAAACAACTCTGCTCCAACAACACGGAGCCTGTTTGGGAGAGCCATGCCCGCGATGGGCAGCTGGAGCCCTTCCAAAGCCAGTTCCCCTTGGCTTTCCCATGGCTCAGGGGGTGCCTGTGCTTTGCTGCCGCCATTCTGCCCCCCTTCTTTAGGGCTGGAAGTGCTGAGAGTGGCAAAAGCTGGCTGGGGAGGGGGGGAAGGAGGAGTGGGATAAATCCAGGGTGTGGGGGGCTGTGCTGGCTCAGCGCTGGGCTTTGTGTTTCAAATCCTTCTCGGCTGGAGGGGGGGGTTTATGCCCTTGGTACCAGCTGTATGGAGGCCTTTCCAGGGGGGGGATGGGTAGGAAAGGGGAGTCAGCAGCTCTTTAAAGGTTTTGACAAATTAGGGGGGCAGCTAATTACCTGGCAAGCTGTGAACAGTTGTCCTGGAGCTATTTGCTCCTCTCCAGTGTAGCTGGGCTGTGTTTAGGCTTCACATGAAGCTAATACTCCACTTCCGATTAGTCTTGGCTCTCCTCTGAGGCACTATTTAGGTACAGAGCTCTGAGGCGCTTTCCCTTTCCTAGGGCGCCTGCTTTTAGAAATTAATTAGCTTAAGCGTATATTACTCAGTTTATAATTATATATATAGCAAGCGAGCTTGGGAGTGGGTGGAGAGGATTTGGATTTAATGGGATGTTTGTCACTCGAGCTCATACAATTGTGGGACCCCAGGACTAGATGCCATTGGACCACCTGGGCTGTGGGATGGTGGATCTGTGAGTGGGAATGGCCCTCTGAGGGCAGGTTTATGGTGTGGGGATGCCCCTGTGAGGGCGAGTGGGCTGGTGTTTGTGAGGCCCTGAAGGAGGTCTGTCACCCCCTGCTCTGTGTCACAGCCACTGTCTGTGGTGCCTGGGCTCTGCTCCACTCGCTGAGGGGCTGGTGATAGCAAATGTCTGATCTAAGGCTGTTGTGGAGCTGCCTCACAGCCCTTCTGAGAGCAATGTCCTGGGCTGCTGCCACTGCCCAAGCTCTGCCCTCCTCTGCCACCCTACTTCTCAGCCAGTGCTGGGGCCTGGCAATGCACCCATCACCCTGGTTCAGCTGCTGATGCTCCCAGGGCATAACTCAGCCCATTACCCCCAAGCACAGAGCTGATGCTCCTAGGGCATAACTCAGCCCATTACCCCCAAGCACAGAGCTGGTGCTTGCAGGGGCGATGCTCCCATGGCCCTGTCCCCCGTGGGTGAGCCTGTGTCCCCTTCGGTGTCCCCGCAGTGGTCCTGCACGCCCCACCTCCGGCCAAGATCAAGCGGGAGCTGCCCAGCCCGTCGTCGGAGCTGTCCTCCTGCAGCCACGAGCAGGCTCTGTGTGCCGGCTATGGGGACAAGTGCCTCTACAACTGCTGGTAGGTAGCCGGGGCACTCCGCTGCCCGCAGAGCCCTCGGGGGGTGCTGTCCCTCG